GGAGATCCTTGGTATTCTTAAATTCAATTCTAGGCTCCGCTTTACATAGCTTCCAAAATGGGGTTTGTTCAGACTTATATCTTCATAGATCATGTGAGATTCTTTGGATGCTCAAGTGGTTGTGCTGTTGCACAAGAGATCCAGAGATTAGCCTAAGAAGGATTCTTACATCTTGATCTACTAAGGCTTGGGGTAGCCCATGTTTCTGTCAGAAACTCTCTAGCACTCAGAAATAGAGTGCTTTAAATATTTGACTAAAGCAATACATATCTGCATTTATATTAAAAGTCAGATGAAACTATGTAGGTTATTTACATTACTGAAAAAGGTTAATATATTTAATCTAACTGGAAACCAGTTTTTTTTTACTTTGAAAACAAAACCTGTTTGCTTTTTAAAAAGGGAAAAGAAACATGCTCAAAGTGACTCAGAAGTTTGTTTTGAACATGTACTTTTGATGTGTGGAAATCAATCCTTCAAAATGCCTCAGAGCATTTGTAGAGCAATGTTGAAAGTCAAATCAATGCATATTATAATCAATACTGCTGTCTGACACCAAAATAAAATTATTCTCATCAGGCATATGCTAGTATCAACAGATTAATGAGCCTGTATGGTGTTCAGTCTGGAATCCATGTCATTTTATGCACAACAATACTATTAGTTATTAATATCTAATAATATAGATGTAGGCTGTAATTCTAGATAGCAAAGATAAGCCAAAGTTTTGTTCATTTTCAACACGTCTGACCAATGAAAACAATGGGGTCTCCAATACTTTGTCATGCATGTAAGCCATAAGGGCAATCATGCAAGTAATTTTGCAAATTGTCCAACATTCAAAGGAGCAAGTGACTGCACGGGACCAATTACATGCTCAGGGCACAACAGAGTGCATAATGCATAACATCCAAAATGATCCCAACCACTTGCAAGATTGCCTTTATGCTTTCCAGAATCACAGCCGATTCTGGCCTATATATTCCAGTGGTGAAGCATCAAAAGCAAACAAACAAACAAAAAACCTTGGGGATCAGCTGCATGACTAAATGGATCAGTTGCACAGATACTGGATAGCCAGATTTCAATTTAAAAAAAATCAAAAAGATAAAAATCTAATTTTAAAATGTATGTGAATTACTTGGATGTTAACTTCGTTGTCCTCTTATTGTTCAATATGACACTAATTTGTCTGTACTCTTTACTAGATATCATAGCAAAGTACGCCAACACATAACTAAACCTATGTTACTTTTTAGATTCTCTGATATATTTTCTGGAAACCAATGAAAGTATGTATGTTGAGTATGTGTCCAAAATGTGCTTAAACAATTTATACATTTTTATAGATGGTCCCTATAACTCATTTAAACATTTGATTCATGTCAAATCTTCTCAAGAAGCATACAGTTCTTGACCATATTGTGTATTTTTCAATTACGCTAATGCCAAACCAATATTTTTAAATTCAAATTATGCCATCAAGTTCAATTTACATAAAAGGGGATGCCAAGAAAAAGGCAGAACAAAGTAAAAATGAGGAATTCATGTGGAAAAAATAAAGCTAGAGTTGGGAAGAACATGCATTATGATGAAAGACGAAACAGATGCAATACACAGCAAAGATCAAAGAGCTCCATCAATTCATTCTGAGAGTCAAAATCCAGCTGAGCATTGGAGCCCTGCACACATAATAAGGAAGGTTGACTAAAACATAAGGATTAAACAGATGAGCTGTCTCCTGTGGATGTACAGCAGGGAGACCCTGCTGAGCCACTTGTAAAGACACTCTGGAATGGTACACCTGCTATTCTGCAGTCAAACCCACAGGAAGTCAGCCGGGAAGAGAAAATGGCCACTTATGTACTAAAGAGCTGTTTTCAAGGGGAAATGGAAGTGCCAGAAGTGCATACATTTTACTTTGACATAAAATGGAAAATTTCAGAAAACTATCACTTAACAGAGTCACATTCTCCTTCTAAGACCAGGTTTAATAAACAGTTCAGAAAGGAAATAACAAAAATATCATTATCATCATGTTCATGTGGATTTAGCTTGCATGTTAGACTTCAAAATATTAGAAATCAACATTTCCTATAACTAATAATATTTTCTGGGTAACTATGACTATCTTATCCGATTTATCTCAGTTATATCTTAGTAAAGCATCCAGAATTCAAGAGGTGTGCAATCCATGTTGTTATTAAAGCAACATTTTAAAATTTTAAAAAACTAGTCTACATGAAACTAGTCTATCATTAGCTATATCAGCAAGTAGATTTAGGGGGAAGATTTTTTTAACTGGACGGATAACAGGCCAGTTGGTGCACACACATTGACAGCTTCAACCGCCAGTTTCCCTTATAACCCTCTTGCATCTTCGTTGGCAACTACAGAACAAACTTCTCTTTTCAGGTGTCTGAATTTGGCCTAATCTGTCCAGTTACTGAATTCAATCATAAAATATCAAAGAGGATATAAAGCCAGTTGAAAAGATACACGTATTACATTTATAGTCTGATTAAAAAAGATGGAAAGGCATGAAATACTCAGGATGTGGAACTGGATTCCCACAGGAACACAAAATTACATTTACTGAGTCCAGCATGGTTTGAATACTGATCCTGTTTCAGGGCACTTAGATACAACCACCCTGAGTCTTCCATCTAAGATGCAACAAACTCAGGTCTATATATCTAAAGCCTTCCTCCCTCACAGCTCCCTCTTTTCTTCTATTCTAGAAGGTCAGCATGCCTAGAGTTACTGGATAGACACCAGTCTAGGCTTGGGTCAAACCTAGACTTGTACAACTTTGTCAAACTGGCTGTATCCTATAACATCAGATCATGCCCCAACTACATCGCAACAACCGTTTTCATTAATAAGGACTATCTTCATGCCACTAATTTGGAAGAAGACTGTTTCCAAAACTTTTTAGCCCTTTCCATCCAAAAAGGCATTCAGTTATTCTAGCTGAAGGTTAGTAAAAAGATTGTCAAAACACAGCAATACTGGGATGTAAAAAAAAATTATATTATTGTTCTCTTAACTAAGCTAATTTGGAGCTATCGTCTATAGTGTCCACTCAAACATAATGCTTCCAAATAAATAATTAAGGAGAAACTATGATTTCAATAGTCATAAGAGAGGCAATATTATTCCAGCTGGTAGCATCATCAAAACACTGTTCCAGATTTCATTAGGAAGATATACAAATGTGATGGATTTTCCGCATGCAATTTTAAAGTGAGCACTGAGTCAATGAACAAAAAGTAAAAGCACCTAATTTCCATGTTTCATTAATTTTCAGTCATATTGTCACAGTTTAAAACTGTGTATTAAAACAACTAAGGTTTTTATAGTAAAAGCAGTGCTGAATATTAAAGCGTTTTTAAAAGTACAGCTTGGAAATAGTTTACTATAAGCAATCGAAACAATTGTTTGGCTCTCAAAGCTGAAAAGTTCACTCTACCATAACATTCTGACAGCTAAACAATGTTTTTGTTACAAGTTAGAGGTGGCAAATACAGTTTGCATTTTTTTTTGTAGGTACAGTGCCTTTATATTACAATACTACATGGCATTAAGCCTAAACCTGGGTCCCCAAATTTTTCTAAACCAAAATCCCAGAATCCCTGACCATTAGCCATGCTGATGGGTACTTCTGGTAGATGAAGTTCAACCAAATTTGGGGTCCCAGGTTTGTCAGCCATTGCATAAAGCAACAAAGATACATATCCCCCCTCCCCTCAACAAACCTTTCAAGGCTTTCAGTAAATGCTGTAATAGCGAACACCTTGTAGAATAATAGTGTCTTCCTTTCCTCTCCACTGCAGCCCTCTGTGCTATGCCAAAAGAAAAAAAAATGTTCTGGAGAGTTCCCCAGCATTCTTGAACAGATTTTTGAGTTGCATAGAGCTATAGAGGAAAGGAGATCACAGTTTTCCAACTCAACTGGTAGGAGCAATTGCATCAATGGAATTCCACAATCTCAATACTACACTGTAAGAGTTTCCCAAAGTCTGATAGAATGGCAACGAATATTTTGCAACCACTATTGCATCTTTTCTTTATCTAGCATATTATTGGACCTGCTCTAACAAAAAATTAATTGTTGTTTTGTGCAAAGCAAAATGATTTCACAGAAAGCAAAATGAAGCCAGCAAAACATGGTTTATCCAAGCAATACAATGAATCATTGAATGAGGCAGAATTCATTCCTATCTGTCACATATTTAATGTATGGTGCCCTTCATTTGATGTGGACTCGGATGGAATCTTAGCTGTTCTTAGTACTAGGAAAATTGGTGTGGACAAAAGTCAAACTTGTGGAATGTGATTTGTCTTTTTTTGCTTGAACCCTAGGATCCACCCACAGGAGTCCAAAATACCAGCGGTGGTGGAGTGCAGGGAAATACAGCCTTAGAATTATAGATATGCTTCAATCAAAAAAATTCTCTAAACCACGGTAACTAAGTTTACAATTCTACTGCACAAAATTCAGTCCTGATTATCATTCCAAGGTTTCTTCTTCTACTTTGGAAGGAAAGGTCAGAGAAGCCTTTTGGGATTTGCTGTCTTTAAACAATTGGAAGAAATCCTTTGTGATCTACTACAACCCCCAAAGATCTTCCAATACATGCTAATCTCCCTTCTGGCCAATTCTGACGTAAATTACACAATGTATGAGTGAACCAAGCAATTAGAATACAGATTTGTGGTTCATCCCAGGATGACTGGTGGTGATTTCCCTCTCAAGAGAGCACAAGTAAGGACTAAAGTGTGTATGTATTTATGATTCCCCTGTTCACACGTGGCATCAGGGATATTTATTCCCAAAACACAGTGCCAAACGTGGATCCTACCAATTAGACCATGCCATGGTACTATTTGTCTGAGCTTGGTCTCTGTCTGCTAGATATGCAACCATTCTGTCACACTAATTCCCATAAACTAATACAATATTCAAGTAATCAAGGCTGCAGTCATACACCACTTACCTGGTAGTAAGCCTCATATAAATCAGTGGAATTTATTTTTCAGTTGACATGTGCAGAATTACACAGGAAAGTGCTCTGTGCAGCAAAATAGCATGCCTATTTTCTTGTTTATCTCGCATTTTCTCTAACACCAATATGGCAACAATGTTATCCTGTTAGAGAGAAAGAGTGTTATGTGCAATTACATCTTTTATTCTTGTTTAGCTGACAGGACAATCTCTTTATGGATCTGTATACAGCTCATATATTTGATTTCCAGGTTATCTACTGCCTGCAGATACAAGTGCTTTGATTGTTTACTGTGAGGGAGTAATTGGTACCAGCTAAATAACTCCAAAGAGACTGATTTGAGAGCCCTCCACCTATTACAAGAATCAGGTGCTTGATCATTCAAGTCACTGTGCTGCCAAAATTCCAATGCATCAGACAAAGCATAAATAAATGAAGTAGGGAATGAATGTTATAATATTTTAACATGCAATCACAAACATTAATTAACTGTAATTATATTCATAGAAACTTGATTTATATTTGCAAAACAGAAACAGAGGTAAATAGTTGGCAATTTCCAGAGAGATCAAGCTATCTCAGATGTAGTTGCAGTCATTCACACCAAAAATACTAGGCAGATTCATATGGTGAATGTAGTCTTAGATGATGGAATTCACCCCAGGGCCTTCACTTAACATAAAATACAACAAACCTAGTTGTTCTCCTGTTAGGGGTAATGCAATCCTACCAGAAACAACTTTAAAGAGTGGCTTGGGAAGGGGATTGCAGAGGTATCTTCAATTTGCACAAATTGTCTTGACACAACAATAGTATCCTTTGAGAAGCAAAGGACATATGCACATAAAGAGAGAAGAAAAGAGAAACGAAAGGAAGAGTAGAGCATAATATCTGGAGTGGACTACAGTTTATGACTGTTGAAAAAAATGCAACAAGCCTTCTCCACATCCTTAGAAGTCAATGCAACAAAATAACAGCTATTACTCTTTTGCATAATTTGTATTATTTGCATTAAATCACTGCATTATATCTGCAGTTTAGTTTAATTTGCACACATACAAAAATATTGCTTGGTTTAATTCTCTTCTTGCATCTGGAGTGCCACAAATAGCTTTCCCTCCTTAAGTGCAATGCATTTTAGGGAAACCAAGCTGGATTCAGTTTTGCTAATATTTAAAACAAACCCAATGCAATCAGTGGGACACCTCTAACTATTAAAAAAAAATCTGGATCCATATCCTTCCACATGTTGTTTTCCTGCACAAAGCACTTATCCTGGTTTATTTTAAATAAATGACTGCAGAGCAAATCTGAGTTTAAAATGCCATGTACTCAAAGACTGCTAATTAAATATTGGCTCCAATGAAGGTGGCATGAGTTTTGGTTCTATAATTATACCATCACTTAATAATCACCCTGATGTGAAAGCAATCATTCCTTACCCTACACCATAAATCTCACAGATAAAATAGTAGATTATACAAAAAATTCAATCATAGTGTTAATCGCTAACATTTGCTCCACTTTTAAATCATGATAGGAAGGTGATTTCTCACAATTTTTAAATAGTTTATTTAGATTAAAGATAAAAAATTTATTTCTAGCTCTCTGTGCACCATCACAGTTGCTGAGGTTGGCTACATTGTGGTCATATCTTCTACCATGAAATGTAAGATGTTAAAATAAGTTCAAAGTGAAAATGTTTTGATGGAAGATATTGGCCTCAATCGCTATGGATGAATTATTCTACTGGGGGAAAACTGTAGAAAAAAAGTACAACAAGCCATAATTGTTTGATCAACAATCCAGTCCCTTTCCTCTACTTTTAGGGATACATAAGAATCTGGGTTCCATTTGATTTTGATATAAATTAACTAAAACCCACACATCCGTTCATATTCTGCTAGGACAGAACTTACAACTTTAAAAATGGTAACTGAAAGGGACCAAAACAGACATACTTTGAGGTCTTCTACCCAGACCTCTGGGTAGTGTGGGCGGCATATAAATTGAATAAATAGAATAAATAAACAAATCTGGATGTATAAAATCCCTGTTTATTCAGCTATGTTGGTGCTGAATCCATATACCTACTGCTCTTTCTCTTAAATGCCTATAAGACAAGTACATGCAATAAGGTCCTCTCTATGTGGGGAAATCCAGCAGCTGCATCTAATGAATTTGACTAATAGGAGAGAATTTTACATCTGTTCCTTTTTAAAGTATTTACCAAAATCCTCAAATGGTTTTATAATCAGGATAGAAATCACTTGATATTCCAAATATTCAGAAGAAACTGAATGGGAAATAGTCAAATGTGGGTCAAACCAAAAATTACAAATTTCTTAACATCCGTACTGTACTTCTCAAGTGTACTGTGGATCAAACACAGGTTAAACATTGGATCCCAATGTATCTGTGAATGTGCAGTGCACTGCAGGCAGCTCTTACTCCCAGTTTAAGCAAAATGCAGACAAATTACAGATACAAAGGGCAAACAGCAAACAGTTTCCCTTTAAAGCATGTAAAAGAGGTCCTAGAGGATATTGTCTTTTAACCTACTGCAAGCCATTAGAAACTTGGTGGGTTGCAATTAGATTCAACCACTATAAAGATTGCAGTTGCTCTACTTTAAAACAGGAAACATATTCTTCATTTTTCAAAACTAGTAGGCAGTTGTCAAATTTTTAGGAAATGCATTTTGGTCAAAAATGTTCACAGCGCACAAAATATTGTAGCTGATTTTGACAATAAATCTAAATGAGTGTCACTTTAATGTTACCTTTGTATTGATTTAAACATTTAATTAACACTCAGATGTACTAGTGTGCTTCCAGATGAAGCGTTCTTAGCTGTAGAAGTCAGAAGGCATTGTGCAAAACCTCTATCTTTCTCTCCTCGACAGGCTTTCCCCCCCTTCTGGTAAGAAGATTATAAATTGAAGACAATGTCATTTGGACCTCTGTATGAATGAGGCAGGCAATTGCATAGTAAAAGCCTAATCTGGAAGCATTTTAGGACATCAAAGTACAGTACTCAAATGAGAGGAATGGTTCTCATATTGGTGTCCACCTATCATATATAAATAGACCTACATGCTAGCTGCATATAGAACGTTTGTTCTTTGAGCTAAAGAAAACCTTGTAAAAATTACTACTGTATCTGTAGAAATTAAGCCAGTTAAAATTTATCAGTGGAAATTCTCTTGCATAGTTAGGTTGGTATAATGTAAGTGATATCACAGTTGGAGGTGAATTGCTTCAAGTTAGGAAAGCACCAATGAAGTTATCTGATGTGTACTGAGTCACGTAACTCAACTCACTCAGACAATGGGTGTAGTGGTTTTGTAACTTGAGGTATTTTGCTTCCCATGTTATGATATTTGCTTAGTGTCAGAGTAACCACACAAGAGGATTCTGGCCATCATTTCAGGCATATTTTATCTTTGTACCTGTGAAAAGGAGAGTAATCAAGTTCTTGCTTCAATCTGAACAACTTATTGATTCATTGATTGATTGATTGACTGACTGATCGATAGATCGATCAACATTTAATAGAAAGAGGACTAGTACATATCACACATGAGCAAATATACAGTTACAACCACAACATCCATGGCAAGAACCATAGACAATCTAGGCTTTTTGGTGCAGGCACCTGCATGATATCTGCATTCGTTCTCAGGTAAACTTGTACAATATTTTATGGGCATTTTACAACATGTAATGTTTGCAACAGCCAATTTCACTTCATTTGGAACCCAGAATTTTGTACATTGGGTCCATATTTATACTTTACAGTGCTCCATTACTACTGGAGCAAGTAGGCAGGGTAGTGTTCATCCCAAACTTCCTCCTTCTCCTCAGCCACCATCTAGTGCCACCATCCAAAGGCATGGGAAATGTTCTGGAAAAAGAGGGGAAATGGAGTGGTAAAGTGTTGTCCTGTCTTTTTCTTACAATAGGAACTCTCCACTGGAACCTGGCCACTCCAAGAATTGAAAGAGTGCTTTTGACTGCAGAGGGTCACATCAGCAACCAACCCACTAGATTGGCCCATGCTTTTATGGACATTTGGATGTTATACCAAGACCTGCTTTCAGTTGAACAGAAACAGCTGCCCACCGCTACTGTAAAAGAGCATTTTACAATTTAACAGCATGAGCCACCAGACCTGATTTGAGGGGTAGCAAGAAAGCAAGTGGATGCTACATAGACATGGGCATAACACTTCAGGCATGCAAGTTTGCATTCTAGCCTGAGTTAAAAGCTATGGAACAGTAATATTGGATATGCCTTATTGAGTTGAAATGAGTTCCTAACAACTCATTAGTCAAGAGTCTCATTCCTTCACAGCTTGCCTACTGAGTTAATAACTGCAGGTGCTGCACTTCAGAACTTTTTACTGGGGTACTGCATGATATAATACAATATATGAATAAAATCCTGTGGCACCTTAAAAGACTAACAAGTTATAACTGACATAACTGGTAGCTCACGTCAACAGATAGAACAACCTACAGTCTATAAAAACTGTTCAATTCTCCTCAAGTTATAACTGACATAACTGGTAGCTCATGTCAACAGATAGAACACCTACAGTCTATAAAAACTGTTCATTTTTAGGGTACTACAATTCTCCGTGCTTGTTTCACTGCCACAGATTCCAACAACCACTCAGCCTAGTACTATAAAATCTATGAAGAGTTTATACTAAAATACTACCTCTAGTACAAATGTAAAAAGAGTACAGAATTATTACAGGAGCAAGTCTACCTCTGTGCCCATTCTCGTACATTCACAGCTCCTCCCTTGTCCTCCACCACGGCCATAAGCACGAGTTTTCTTCCATTTTAGATTAACTGCAACTTGCAATGTGAAGCTACTGGACAAGGTACTAGATGCACTGTAATTTATCTCTAGTTTAGTGAAAACAATACAACTTCAGACTGCCTTGATTTCAATAAGCATAGTTAAAGTCAACCATACTTTAAGGTTCAGATGCAATGCCATGCAGCATTGAACCTAACCAGCCATAGAAACGTCCAATCACTTCATGGCCATGCTGAGAGAGAAAATGGGAAGGGGAGCATGTGGGAAATTAAAGTCATTTTCATAATTTTATACTATGCTTTAGTGTTACA